GGCTTTGTAGGGATGCGAGGTCAATGGTCTAACGACTACGGCATGCACGACTAGGAGTACACTCCCCTCCCCGCCCGACCTCCCGGATCTACTCGGGTATTCACTTTCCGCCTCACCGAGCTTGATAGGCTTCGATTTGTTGAACCTCATCAGCATGAACATCACTCTTGCCGTGCTCTTCACCATCTGCTCGTCGTGCGATAGGCATGCGCCGGGGTCCACAAGCTCGCTCCAGCACTTATTCAACACGTCCTCCAGCTCCCTGCCGAGAGTAGCATATATTTATTTCAATCACATTCGACGGTTGATTTTTTTTATCACAGAGGGCGCAATTGTATGTCGGCAAACACAAAACCGTCGAAACGCAGCATCGGCGGACCTACGTAGAGGGGGGTTTCGCATCAAGAGCGGTGTTACAAGGGTTGAGGCTCGATATTGCAGTTTGCTACGTACTTTGGGCCGAGGGGCCGCACGACATACGTTTTCGTTCCCCAATCAGCGTTGCACAACCGGTCACGCAACCTAAACGTATTTTTCGGCAGGTGTCGATCTGGGTGCTTCACACGTGGACTACAACATACTGTATTCCAAAGCAGCTGCCCGCGGGTCAGAGCGGTTCGTTTTCACTCAGGCCATACTTAGGCCATCCTTCTGAAAGGCGGAGCAGGCAGCACATCCGAGGAAAATAACAACATACCCGTTATGGGGCATACCTGATGTGGTGTTTGCAGTCGTACTGAGGATCAGCCTTGTTGAGCTTGCCGGTGGCAGGGGCCAAGTGGAAGAAGCGGCCGTAGAATAGGACAAACAGGTGTCGAGGCATGCAGGCCCGGGCCGGGGGTTGTCATGGAGTTCCACCCCCCATTGGTCGGTGATCCGCCGCTTCTGGGTGATTCCCGCGGTGATGAGGGTACCCATCACGCCTTACAGGTGCTTGCGCTCGAAGGCGTACTCTCGAGATCCATCCGCCAGGTCCTTGTACGGCACCGTCTGAAATCCCGCGTCACCTTCTTCGCCCGATGTCGAGGTTCCTGGTGTTCCAGGGGCGGGTCAGACTCGTCGGCGCAGAAGTTGACGTACCCGTTCATCTGATAAGAAGGCGGAAGGGGAGGGATACAAAATATAGGTGTGAAGGGGCGGGAAATAAGAATAAAGGCGTGAAGGACCGGGCGGGACACGAGAGGGATTCCTAAAAAACAAACTGGCACAACAAAAGAGCGAGCTCGCCTGGCGCAAGGGTGCTGAAACAACTTGAAGATAGTTGGTGGTGCACACCGTCGAAGTTGCTTGGAAGATACAGCCCCTGGTTTCAGGTAGCCATGAAGGCATACATGGCTCGTACGAGTTCCGTTCAGTGCGCAAGGTGTGATTCAGAATATCGTTGATGGTGGTGATTGTTTTTGGCGTCAAGCACGACGCTGGAACTACTTTCACGCGATGTCGCTGCCCTTCTTTCGATAAATGCGTGTGTTCATTTGTCTGTCGACTCTGATACATGCTGGATCCTAGCTCCGTCGCGTTCCACTAATGCCCCCCCTACCCCCCGGCCGTCCAAGCAAGCCTGCACGTCTGAACATGAAACGATAAACACATGACCCTCACAAACAATTCGAAGTGAAACATGCACCGTGGACAACGGTCCGCCAGCTACAGTCTGCGCTTCATGCTATTGTGCGCGTGGTGGCCGTTGTAGTGGTGCTCCTGCCGCTATTGGCATGAAAACCCATGCCATCACTCGGAACACCACTCTCTTGGTTGTTTGGGGGGGGAGGGGGGGGTGTACTCATAATCGTGCATGCCGTAGTCGTTAGACCATCGACCTCGCATCCCTACAAAGCCGGGACGGAGCACGCCGGGTTTTCACCGGACCAGGCTCTCACATCACCAAGCGCGAAGCGCCGTGAGAAATTCGGCCAGTCGCATGAAGGGTGCGCTGCATCCTGCGAAGGGTGTTGGGCATCTTGTGCTTACTTCCTTGCGTATGGATGACAGCTGCGTATGAGTTAATTTATTTTCTGGTTCTTCCACTTCCAGAGACAGTTGTAAGCACTGTGTAACTGCCTCGAGGGTGCTTGACCATTTTAACACAACGTGGTGCGATCATCCCCCTTGTGCGCAGTGAGGGTTCTCGACCCCGCACAACATGATCTACTTGACCACCAGTATGGTAACCGCCAAAAAAACAAACGGAGGTAAAAAAAAAACGGTAACCTGGTTGCCGACCTCACGAAGTGAATTGGGTTGTTCTACACGTTGCCAAGCGATGAAAACCCAACCCCGATGGCAAACACCGCGGGGGGTGAGGGGGGGAGGGGGGGGGGGGGGGGGTA